TAATTGACACTATGCTGGAAGTCATTGACATTCGTAGAATTGGAAACATAAGCGAGTGATATAGCAAATTCAAGTGGCATATGATCAGAATCAACCGGAGCTCCGACTGTAAATACATTGAACAATGGAAACGCATTTGGAAATGACAAAACATAGTCAACAACACTTGTCCTAACCTCTGAAATAAAAGTAAAATTTCCACTACCAGTGTTTTTAAAAACCCTACCATTCACAATTCTAAGGCCAGTGCTAATGCAAAAAAACAGAAGTTTACTACCATATTTATTGACCTCATTATCCATCTACTCCCTTAAAGGTATATCATTACTTTGCTCTAAATCATCTATTGGCAAATGCACTTTAGATCAACACTGTCACCATAGTTACCAGTTCTACTATTTGGGTCGCCTACAGGTAAAATTATTGTTAGTTACCGATTGTAAAACTGCGATAAATTTAGCATGGCGATATTTTCATGGTAGGGATACACCATTCATTTCTTGCAAGTTGTTATACGCCCATATTTTATGAACGGAATACACGCGCCTATATTCTACCAAACCATGCCATAACACAATATGAACTGGAAGGATTGTAAGGTAAATTAGCTTATATATACATATATTACATAGTTGTATATGCTTGCTTGTTTTACATGCGTAATACGCGATCTCACATGAATCAAGGATCGTTGAAGCTGCATTTATGTTTACAGCCAGCGTGGATATACTCTAGACCGCTCACAGTGTATTTGCGGAAATGTTGTACACAGATACATATTTTCATATTACAGCATTTAGCTGGCAAGTGGTCTTCTAGGGAAAAATAAACATTGTAGGATGGGTACCAAGCCTGCACAACCCAGGTTAACATGGCATAGTTCACAACTATATTACTGGCACGTTTTACAAATTAATATTACTAATATTTTCATACGACTCAACGCTGGACCAAGCGGGCATTTGTTAAGTAAAAGTTGACAGTTTATTTAGGAGTTCAAACGTTTAAACTCAATAATTGAAATAATTAATTGGATTGTATTTTCGACGGAAATAAATAAAGAGCCTCTCAGTAATGATACGCATTATTCTATATTAAACATCCCTGACACAAATACACAGAAATTTAAAAGTTGAGACTCAGGTTCGTGGCATATTTTTTATAAAGTGTTTGTGTGTGCATATTTCAAGTGAAACTAGTGAAACAAAATATTTAATTTTGTGCTTAGAAAAGTGCTAAATATTAATAAAAATGCGATGCATGTCATTGTTTTTCAATGGGCTTAACGACTAGACTAACTACATAGATTGACAAAGGATTATACAAATCTCTGCCTCCTCGTAAATAAGTTCTGCACATGCTCCACTCAGTCATAACATCAACAACATGACTGCCGCTTGTGATAACACAAGATCGCAAGTTTCGAATAAAAAGAGAAAAGCTGGTCCACCGAAAAGTTATGACTCAGATTCAGGCTATTGAACACGATAACGTTTTGGACGAAGCAGCATGTCGTCAAAGAAAATTAATATTAATGGATTCGACGTCTTTTTCGGAAAAAATCATTTTGCGTAATAAATTATTTTCGTCGATTGGCATTTCAACGATACGAGTATTACTATCCAAGCAAATTACTGTGAAAGAAAATAATTGTTTCAAATAAATTTCCAGGCGAGT